CCATGCCCAGCATAATGGAGTGGGTGAAGGCAATACAATAAGGAAGACCTGGTAGCGTGCTCTCATTGGCTTGCTTTGCTTTCAAGTCTTGAAACAGTTCATTTTCTTCAATTCCATCCTGTAACCTGTGCCAGAAGTCTTAGATTCTAGCTGCGGAGTTGCTGCTCAAAGGCTGTGTAAGCTGAAGCAAATCACCTGCCTTTTCTGGGCTTTGGCTTTCCCCACTAGAGAACTTAAGAGCCAAAGACTAGATACTTCTAAGGTTATTTCAAGTTCAGAATTTAAGTTGCATTATTATTGAAAAGTGACCATCCCAGGCCAGGCTCATGCATTACTGGAGTTTGGCAGGTGTTAGCTGTACAAAATTGCAGTGTCCAACGAGCATTCGTAGAGGGGACCTACAGGACAGAAAGTCCGACTCCCACCAGGATGCCTGACCCTAAGTCTGAGCTGATACCGGTACCTAAGAATCTGACAAGGAAACGAAGCCACTCGTCTCTATGTTCAGAAATGATGGAGGAGAAAGGGCCTATAACCATTTCTTGGGTTTTACTCCCTCTCTTCCCCATCCTCTCCGCCTCCTGTTTCCTGCCCACAGCCCATCAACATCCCACTGATGTAGGAGAACTGTCAGCTGCTGGGAGTTAGTGGCAAGGCTGGGGTTTTGCAAATGACCTCACCTTGTTTTGAATTTCTGTTTTCCATCTGCTTTTGGCAAACATTGCTGCATTTTTAATAAGTCAATCCACTTTTTAATATAATTGATGAGCATTCCATTCTCTTTCCAGTTCATACAGAGATTGTTTTGTATTGAGGAACAAGGACGGCTGGCTTCTTTCCCCATAAGGTCCCAATGGTTCCTATTGCCATTCATAACAACGTTGTAATTTAGTTTCTCCTTTAACCCAACTAGGAGCATTTTCTGTGGACTGTTTCTATTGTCTCTCTCTCTCTCTCTCTCTCTCTCTCTCTCTCTCTCTCTCTCTCTCTCTCTCTCTCTTTCTCTCTGTCTCTCTCTCCCTCCCTCCCTCCCTCCCTCTTTCCCTCCTCTCCTCCTCCTCTTCCTCCTCTTCCTCCTCTTCCTCCTCCTCTTCCTCCTCCTCCTCTTCCTCCTCCCCCCCCCCCTCCCCTCTCTCTCTCTGTCTCTCTAGTGTGTGTGTGTGTGTGTGTGTGTGTGTGTGTGTGTGTGTGTGTGTGTGGTGTGGTGTGTTCTTTCCTGCAGGGGTTGAAGATGAGAACTGTGGGTAAATAACCAGTTCTCAAGTACATCCAAGGACCAAGGTAGTCGCCTCTCCCATCTTGAAATCCTTGCTTCCTTGACGCTCTGCCACTTTCTCTAGCAAGGAGAGCAGAATGCTTAGCTTTAGCTGATTTTTTTTTGATATTTTCTTTATTTACATTTCAAATGTTAGCCCCTTTCCCGGTCCCCCTCCTCAACTCCCTATCCCATCCCCCTTCCCCCTGCTTCTGTGAGGGTGTTCCCCGACCCACTTTCTACATTTATTTATTAATTGACTTTCCATTTCCGATCACTTTCTCCCCTAGCTTTAAAATCTAGCTTTTCAAGATGGAAGGCACAAAGGTTATGTGTTGGCTCTTATCCACTGGGTGTCTGTCTAGAAACGCTGAGAAGCGAATCAGAATCAGAGCTCAGCAAGAATAATTCCAGATTTTTAAAAATCAGTAGAAGAGAAGGTATCTTGTTTTAACTATTTTACTAGTCCTACCTTTGTATTCAGCAGGAATCCTCTCTCCCCTGAATCTTTACTGTTTGAGTCTGAGTCCTGCGGTTCATATCTGTGCTTGCTTATAAAACACTGTCTACGGGGTTTACATCCTCAAAGCCCCGTTGCCATGGGGCTTTTAGTGCTTAAAACGATGACTTTGACAAGAAGCTAAGTTTCTCTCCTTTATCCCTGGCATGTGATCTGGAAGTGTAGGTTTGTTGTCTGATGGTCCTTACATCATCCTATACTTGTCACCGCCTGGACATCTTCCTTGTCCTTTCCTGTCCGCCATGGTAAAACATAGCCTTCAGGTAACCTCTGCTGAAATAGTTTTGTTAACTTTTAACCTTACTCCAAGCCAGATTAAATGCCTTTTCTGAGTGCTTCCAACTAAAGCCAGGACATAGACCTCACCAAATGTTTAACTGTGTTACTCTACTGTCTTTGGTTTTCCCGTCCAGCTTTCTCTTAGTCGTGAGCATCTTGAAGTCAGAAGTATAGTACCTGGCGATATAATACACAATGAATGGACTCTGGATAAGTGAGTAGCATTATTATATCTGTAAAGAGGTGCCAAGTTCAGTTACTTTATTTCTCAAAGTACATCCAAGACTAAATTTTGTTATATGCTAAAGGATGTATGGTCGTGACAGTTCTTTAGACAATGTTTTCAATGTAAGGAAATGTTCCTGTAGACAAGCATCTCTGGGTTTGATTGCTTCATGTCTGAGGTTCCTTGTCAGTCTTGTCTTCGTGGAGAAAAGTCAGAGAGCGTGCACTGAGCACCTTCACGGCGAGCATGCGCTGAGCAGCTTCACGGCGAGCATGCGCTGAGCAGCTTCATGTTGCCCTCACAAACTCACCACAGATAGAAACTTGTAAGTTCAAGGCTGAGGCCGAGAATTTCAAAACTCCAGCGATAAAATGAACATGCTGGATTTCTAAGTTCTCGCTGATCTCCTGCTCCAAAGAAAACTGCTCTGCTATTTTGAGCGACAATCAGTTACTGTGAACTCACTAGTGTAGAAATAGAGTAGAAAACACACACCAAAACAAAGAAGCAAGCAAGCAAACAAAAACCCCCAACAACAACGACAACAAGTAAACAACCCTACAAACACCCCTGCTTTCTCTGTTTTAATCAGTCTTCACAAAAGCTTAATTTCCACATGATTTTATTTTGATGATTTTTTTCTTACTCGATGTTGTATTTATAGACAAAACATATGTTGGAGAAACAGAAAACAACTTTCTGTGCGTGTTCCCATGTTTTGTTTTTCTCTATTGTGAACTGAGCATATGAAACCATTTGGGAAAATGGAAAGGAAAAGAAAATACAAAGTCTGAGTCTGCCATGTGCTTCATAGGGTATCCTTGCAGTTTTTCTCCTTAATTAGGCTCAGATTTAAAACAAACGGAGCTTTTCACAAACAACAACGATAGCATTGAAGGCACACGCAGATACACAGACACACACACAGAGACAGGGTAATGTACATGTTCTTGCCTTTTTCTCCCTCTCCATGTTTGTCTAAAGGGAATAAAAATAATGATGTTGCAAATTTACGTTTTGCATGATATAAAAGTGACTTTTAACCTCGCATGTTGAGTTATTTTTAAAGCAGCTTCCAGACTGCATTTATCATACCCTCAAATGAGAACTAGCGTAGTACAGGCTTTATTGTGGCCCGAATTTTAGTTTTGTTCAAATTCAGAGGCTAATTAATCAGATGCTTCATAGGAGAATCTTTGCTAGTTAAATCTTTGAATTGATCATCCTTCAATTTTTAATTGTGGTAATAAGCACATTTATTAACCATCTTACTCATGTTTTATGTGTGGGGCAAGCGAGATGCATGTAATATGCACATAGAGCTTAACCATACATTTACTCGTGTTTCATGTGTGTGGCGAGTGCTATGCACATTCACATTGTTATCCAAGCATTGTCACCATCTCTTCATTCCTATATTAATTAAGTAGTGCTATTCCATTATCCTGACCCCTCCATTCTGTTTTTTTTATCTCTTTGCTTTTGACTATTTTAAGATGCTGTGTAAGTTAAGCAGCATTTGTCTTTCTTTGACTAGCTTACTTCACTTAGTGTAACATCATTGAGTATATGTCGCTTTTTCCCCAATTTTAAGGCAGAGTATTATCTCATTATATATGCAGACTACGTTTGTTTCTGTTTCTCTTTCTGTTTTTGTTGGTTTTTTTTTGTTTTCATTTTTGCTTATCCACTCAGTTTCTGGGATATAATTGGGTTGCTCTCATGTTTTATCTGTGATGAGAAAGATACAATTACCACAAGAGACACAGATATCCTTTCGAAGCTCCGCTTTACTCTCTCATCTCTTCCTTGATACGTTTTTTATTGTTGGTGGTTTTGTGTTGTTAGTTTGTTTTGAATGAAGTATTATGGGAAATTCTTTGCGTGGGGGTTAGGGCTGGGCCTCCTTAAGCAATAGCGGAGCATCTAGTCGTCTGTTAACTAAAGAGGCTTTAGTGCTGAGGACGTCTCTGAGGGAAGGATGACCCTGTTTAACACCATCAGGTTTTGACATTTTCGATTTTTTTCTCTTAAAGTATTCTTTCTATGTCTTTGTTCTAGTCTTCCAAGACTCCCATTTGATGGTGCCCCATATGTCACTGGACTCTTCACCTTTACTTAATTTTTTTCTTTCTTTCCCACAAATTTTGGCAATTTTAATTTTTACTTCTGTCTACTCTGTTCTACCCTTGAAACACCATGAGCTACATTTTCTGAGAGGAAAGAGCTGATCACAGGCCTGAGCACTCTATTTTGTTTTTCTATGGCTGTTTTACCCTCTCTCTTGAGTCACTCTTTTCTAGAGGTACTTTAGATTTATGACAATACAGGCATCTTAATGCTTGTTATAGAACAGCTCACTCCAAAATTAAACCTTCTATCTTGGAAGGAAGCTCATTAAGACAAAGGATGTTACAAGATATTCTAAGAGGAGGTGAAACAGTCCTTCATAGGGAAGTACCCTAAATTTAGAACATAACATCTTAAAGGTTTCAGGAAGTCCCTGAAACTGAACAGATTCACTAGGCTCCTCCCTCCTCAAGCATGTATAAACTGCAAGAACAGCTGAGAGACACTCTCAGACCACCTGCGCTGTCAAAAAGAGCAGTTAAGTTGCCTGAAAGAAGCAGAGACCAAATGAGTCACATCAAGGAAGAGATTAACTGAGCTACCAGTAGAGACAAGAGCACTTGAGTTAACTGAAAGAGACACTTTCCAACCTTTTAAGAACCTGCAAGTTGTGCAGTGTGCCCCAGATTGTCACTCATGTTGGAGTAATGCAGCTGTTTTTGAGTAATTTCTGCTCCAGTAATTAAACCCTCATCCATATTCTGCTAATTAATACCAATAACACAATTGGCTCAACATGTTGGACTTTAGTAGTATTCCTACTTGCTCTCTATTGGCTTCCTCTCTGAGGTGAGTAGATCTTTGCTCACTTCTTCCTAGGAATTGTGTCACACAACAATGGTAAGAGGTCAAAAATACTTCCAAGCAAGGTGAACCTCCAATGATAGATTACTGTACTACTGAGGTCAATTTCCTAAGATGGGAATAAAGGCCACACCCTGAAACAGGTGCCATAATCTCATAGAAATGTTCCATTAAGTGGATACAGAGATGATGACTTCTCCATAACGTTTTACAGAGTCAGAGTGAGATAATGATAAGCCACATCACTGGCCTGACCAAGATAACTTGATAGACTACAGTGTAAAACCTAACCCTCTACCTTCTTTCTCTTTTCTACAAAATCATTTTGTGATGGCTAGTTTTATGTCAACTTGACATAAACTAGTTATCTGAAAGGAGGGAACCTAAATTTAGGAAGTGCCTCCATAAGATTCAGCTATAGAGAATTTTCTTAATTAGTAGTTGATGGGGGAGGGCCCAAACTATTGTGGATGATACCATTCACAGTCTTGTGGTCCAGGGTTCTATAAGAAAGCAGCCTGAGCAAGCCATGAGGAACAAGCAAGTTTAGCATGCCTCATTGCTTCTGTATTAGCTCCTGCCTCCAGGTTCCTTCCCTGTTTGAGTTCCTGTCCTAACTTCTTTCAGTGATGAACAGTGATATGGAAGCTCAAGACAAATGAACCTCTGTGCCCCCAGTTGCTTCGGTCATGGTGTTTCACCATAGAAATAGTAACCCTAACCCTAACAAGGAGAAGAGGGTATTACTGTGATATATTGACCATCTTGTTTTCAGGAGGACTGTGGAAGAAGTTTGGGACTTAGGAAAGGGTATTGACTGTTGAGAGTTCAGTGGGCTGTTCTGAAGGACCTCAGAAGATGAGAATATTGAGAGCAGTGCAGACAATGGAGGTCTGGCTTGGGAAGTTTCAGAGAGAAACAAAGACATTTTGTATGAAGAATCTGGGGTGTCTGGTGAACTGGAGCTGAAGAATCAGTTGTGATTAATAAGAAACCAGAACTTCTAAAGTAAATCTTTTGCTCCAATGGATGCTGGTCAGCTCTGGGTGAAAGAAGAGTCAGCTGTGATTAAGAACAGACTAGCTTCATTGAGAAGAAGTCTTTTGGGAAATGTTTCCTCAGGTCAGCACACAGAAGCTCTATTTCAGAAGTGGCCAAGGTTTTGCCTCATACTGGCAGCAGAACTTGATAGTGTTAGAATCACCTGGGTGGTACTGGTTTTGAAGGCTTGAATGGGTCATGGAGCACAGCTGAGGACTGTCACTGTGTGGCAGGGATGGAGTCCCAGAAGATGCTATTGGTAAAAGTGCAACCCAATTGCAGCAAGGGATCTCAGACGTTTTGAAGATGTTGTTACCCTGGGAGGACCACCAAGAAGAGCAGCAGAGATGGAGTAGAGCCAGTGGAAGCCTAGAAGACAGATGGTATGTGCTGCAGAGGGCAGAGCTGGAGAAGAAACCCAAGTGCCTTGGAAAAGCCCAAAAGATGGTAAGTGAATCCTAGGCAGTGGACATTGATTTATTCATGCTATTGAAGTTTATGTTTGTTCTGTTCAGATTGTGACTGTCCCTGGTTCTTTCCTCTTAAAGTGAGAAAATATTTAATTTACTTTTGATTTTATAGGAACCCACAGTTGAGAGTCTTTGAATTTTAAAAGATTTTGAATTTTAAAAGAGATTGGCTATTTTGAAGAGACTGAATTTTTAAGTGTTTGAATTTTTAAAGACTGTGGGACTTTTAAATTTTGAAATGTTTACATTATAATGTAGATGCTAATGTTTAATATTAGGGAAGAACAAGAAAGAAAAGATTATGGCTTAATAGTGATGTGCCATCACAACAAGGTCAGTTGTGATGGCAAATTTTATTTCATTTGACACAAGCTACAGTTATTTGAAGGGAGGTAACCTCAATTGAGAAAGTGCCTCCATGAAATTCTGCTATAGGCAAGCCTGTAGGGCATTTTAAAATTTGTGGTTGATGGGGGAGGTCCCACTCCATCACGGGTAGTATGCTGGGCTAGTGGTCCTGGGTTCTATAGAAAACAGGCTAAGCAAGCCGAGAGGAACAAGCTAGTTAGCAGCACTCCTCCATGGCCTCTGCATCAGCTCCTGCCTCCAGGTTCATGGTCTGTTGAGTTCCTGTCCTGACATCTCTCAATGCTGACCACCTATATGGAAGTATCCTTTCCTCTCCAAACTATTTTGGTCATCATGTTTCATCACAGCAGTAGTAATTCTATCTAAAATGCATCCTTTGAGATAGATGTGCGGTCCTTAAACCACTTCATCTGTTTTTTCCACTATGGCCACACTGATTAAGGCTTCTCTCTCTATTCCTTCTTGACTACTGCTGCTTTAATTGAGTAATGGCCATGGGACAGGTGGATGAGTTGGTCCCCTGTGACCCCTGTAATTACTGCTTTCTCTGTAAAACTCCAGTAATAAATCTAGTCATTGTATTTTTCAGTTAAAATATTTTTATTTTGTTTGGAGACAGGATAGTACTGTGTAATCTGGTATGGCTTGGAATTATGTACAAGTTGGCCTTGAACCTGTGACAGACCTCCTGTCTCAGCTCTCCATGTGCTGAGATCATAGATCTGAGTCACTCACTATGCAAGCTAATTGTCTTTATTTTATTTTGGATTTCCTAGCTTCTTATCTATATGTTCATTTTGCTCCTGCACAATAATTTTCTTCATTTTATGGCTCCCTTTAGTTCACTGAAAATTTCAAAGAGTTGTCCTAAGACCTGTCTATTAGGTGTGCCATGTAGCCTTTCCTAGAGACTGGCTACTGATCTCTCCTTTTTTGAATGGGTATCACTTTCCTCTTTCATTGTAAGCGCTATGATGTCTTCTTGTTAATAACCGGGCATTTGAACCTGTGTTATATCTCTGAGTATTAGATTAGCTTCCTTTCCAGGATGTCCTTTTTTCTTGCTTTTTATTGTTATGGGTTGTCTCTATACAATCAAGAAGGGATGTGAAGTGGGCACTTGAGGCCAATATAAACCTTTGGCAAATCTGTATTTTTCCTCACTGAGCAAAGGTAGCAACTTTTTGCTTTATTTATTAAAGATGCTTCCAAGAACTCTGACCTTAATGTCTGCTTCCCTGAAGTGTTTAAAGGAGAAAGGGAAGAAGGAGGTTCTTGAAAGCCTTTGTGCATTGTTTGAACTAGGGAGGTGACAGTGGTGCCGCATGTGAGGAGAAGCTAGTACAGCTATGGCTGCCTGCCTCTGTGCCTGCATTTTAGTGAGAAGCAGCAGCAATCAAAGGTCACAATCAGATCTCGGCACTTGCACTACAGGGTCTTACTGCAACGCTGCTTCCCACAGCTGCCTGTAAGGTTTTCAGGGAACACATGCAAAGTCACCTGTCTCTGTGATGGGGAGAGAGTAGCTGCTCTAAGAAAAGCTAGAGGAACTCTATCACAATTTACTCTAAATCTTCTTTTGGACATTTCTTCTTTATGGTGCATGTGAGTGCATGTGCACACACACTCACTCACACACACACACACAGGTGCATGCATGTGTGTGTATGTGTGTGTTCATGTGTGCATGTGAATGTCAGAATTCAATATTGAGTTTTATTCCTCAAGCCCTCCTCCTCCCATCCCCTTCCGCCTCCCCTTCCTTGTCCTCTTCATCCTCCTCTTCCTTCTTCTCCTAAGGCCTGTGTCTTACTGACTTCACACTCACCTTGTCTACTAAGCTGTCCAGCAAACCCTAGGGATCCACCTATGTCCACCTCTCAACATTGAGATCACAAGCACGCTACATGTCAGGCTTATTTGTTTGTTTATATGTGGGCTTTATGGCTTAAACTCAGGTCTTCATACTTGCAAGTCATACAACAAATGTTTTATTGACTTAACCATGTCTCCAGGTTACATTTGGAAGTTCCAAACCTTCAATAGACTTGAGTCAAAAAAAATTTCCTTTTCTGGATCCTCTGCTAGAAAAGAATCAAATCATGAATTGTATCCTCCAGAATGTAGGTGTTGGGCAATACTGCAGCATACCTCTGTGAATAAAAATATCTTCCCCCTGTTCTATGCTATGCAGTAATGACTAGGACCTATCAGAGCCAGTTATTTAAAAATATATTTACATCTAGACAGCAATTTCCCTTCCTCCTATCCTACCAGCCACTCCTTCTTACCCACCTCCTGTTTCCCTTCAGAAAAAATGGCAGGCCACCCAGGGGTATCAGCTGAACAGAACATATTAAGTTGCAATAAGACTAAGCATCTCTCCTCATATTAAGGCCCAGTAGGAGAAAAAGGGTTGTAAAAGCAGGCAAAGAGTCAGAGACAGGCCGCATTCCCCCTGTTATGAGCTTCACAAAAGACTATGCTACACAACCATAACATCTATGCTGAGGGACCTAGGTCAAACGCATGCAGGCTCCCTGACTGTTGGTTCAGCCTATCAAAGCCCTTCTTTTTTTTTTTTTTTTTCTTATATGACTACATGAATTCAGAAAAGTTTTTATTTTGGCAAAATAACTAAAACATATACAAACATGCTAATAATTGTATAATATTTCCACATTAACTTTCCAGATTTAATTCTATTTTTAAAATCCCCATCCCATCCCTCCTCCTCCTGCTTCTATGAGGATATGCCTTCTCCCACCCTCCCACTCTGACCTCCCCACCCACGGTTTCCTCTGCACTGGGGCGTCCAGCCTTCACTGGACCAAGGACTTCCTCACCCACTTATGCCTGACAGTTCATCCTCCCCTACATATACAGCTGGAGCCATGGGCCCCTCCTTATGTGCTCCCAGGCTGGTGGTTTAGACCCTGGGGGCTCTGGTTGGTTGGTATTGTTGCTCTCCCCATGGGGCCGCAAACCCTTTCAGCTCCTTCAGTCTTCTCTCTAACTCCTCCATTGGGAACCCCATGGTCAGTTCAATGGTTAGCTGTGAGCTTCTGCCTTATCAGAACCCTTCTAAATGATGTTATTCAGAATGTTTTCTTTTCAGATTACGGCTGAGAAACTAATAAAAACCAAAGTGCTAATGACCCAGAATAGTAACAGAAAGGAAAAAAAAAGTTTACATCAGACAGGTTCTAAGTGGTGTCATAGTTATAG